GTTATTGTTTCAGTTGTCGTCGTCGCCGTTGCAGTATTTTGTTCTCCGTTCCTCCAATTGCATTTCATCCGGTGCCCTTTCAATCGGCGTTTTGTTTCGATCGAGAGGAGGATGAGCCTCCCACCGTCGACTGCATTACTCCGACACGACCGACGCCGCCAGCTGGATTTACATAAATATATTCAAACTGTAAACGGGCGGAAACACACAATGTACATTAAGATATCAATCTCTGCTAATTACCCGGCTATCGTTCCACCATTATTATAATGGCGGCAGACATCCATTTGTAATTCCCCGTTCGACAAATAGATTTCCGTGCGCTCACAATATTTGGTTGATGCGCCAGGTAATTTTAACTTCAATTTTTCTTTTTATTTTCGCAGTAAATTTTTATCCACAATTTGTCCATCAATATGTCCATTCTTTGGACTTTCAATTGGTATACTATATTTGTATTTTTTTATCAAGTCTATTTTTTGGGCCGAATGGTTAAGTAATGGTTCGAATCCTGGTCAAGCAAAGTCTATGGACAATTACAGTGTTAAGGATAGCAGCAGATTCACAGTCAAAGGAAATAGTGGAATCGCAGAGCATCAGTATACTACTGAAGTTAACCTACAAGACGACAGCCTACCAACAAATTAAAATCAAATCATCATAATGGTAACTATCCACCGAGAAACATTATCCATCTAATGTCAACCGCGATATTAAATTTACTCAATGTTCACATTGATGAACAGATTGTAAATAAAATTTTATGACATAAAAAAGTCAAATTTTTATTTTTCCTGTAAATATCTATTTATAATTTAGACATCGATTACTGTTCTAAATTTCTAGGTCATTTCCATTAATTTTTCATTGATTTTCAATTTCTGGAAAATAACCTATAATTTTTTCATCAATTTATAAAATACCTCACTCGACAAGTAGATTACAGTGTACAAAATTTGGTAGATGCGCCAGGTACTATTTAACTCCAATTACCTTTTTATTTTTGCAGCAATTTTCTATTCATATTTTTCCTTCAATTTATACATTCTTTAAATAGATATATGTAAATTTATCATATTATTATTTCTGTTGCAAATTTCCAGATTGGTTATTTGAATTCATTTTTCATTGATTTCTGGAAAATTGCTTACATTTTTTTCAGATCCTTTAACAGCGCGCAGGACAAAAGCGCGCAGATGAAAACGTGCAACACAAAGATCTAAATTTTATTTTAAACCTTATAATAGATGTTGAGAGATTTATTAAATTTCTTCAATTTGATTATCATTTTAGTTAATTATAACATTAATTAAATACATAAATATTAAAATTATTTACTGATCCAGTACAAAATACTAATTATAAAATGATGTAGATTTATTTCTTCTTAATATTAATAAATTATGTAAAATAATTAATTTAATTTATTTTCAAATACATTTTATTAAGATATTGTAAATTCCGCCATTTAATAAATTAATTTACTGGAAATTAATAAAATTTGTGTAATTGAACGAAATTAATAATTACTTATTTTTAATTTAAAAAAAAATTTATTAATATAATTGAAAAAAAATTGTAAATAAATGAATAAAAAAGTTTTTTGTCATATTAATTACTATAAATTACAAATAATAATGAATTTTTATCATAAAACTACTAACAAAGGCAGACAAATTTGTTATATTTTGTTATTATTGGATAATGACAAAATTTATAATTTTGTTACAAATAATTTGTTATAAATTTAAATTAGTGTTGATTTATGGAAATTATGTAACAAGCGATTCGCATATTCCGGGAATGTACGTTGAGGAAGAATGCAACGCGGTTTGTTAGTGATGTTGAACTGCACTTCGCATGTTATTTTATAATGCCCAACCATAATGACGGCATTGTATTTTAAATGGGACATTGTTTGGGTTCGGGTCATATTAATTACAGTGGCAAATATTAACCAAGCTAGAGCATGAGGACGAGATGCGCCTGCTCCTGCGCCCGGGCGCAATGATTGAATCATGCCATTATTCAGTCTGGTTGTCATTCTAACACATAGTTATAATTAAAGCCGGGACTGATTGCAATGGCGGAATCAAACCGGAATTTGCATAATATGCTCTAATCTAATGCCGACAAGATTATATGCATTGCGCAGTAGTTGGAAATTTACAACAATAACAACAAAAAAAAATGTTGTTAAATCACCACTTACACAAACTATGGACATTTATTTTTTAATGGAAAATTTCCGATAGATGATAAACTAAAATAATTAGCAGTATTAAAATATTCAGAAAAATTGTATAGATTTATATGTTTTATTAAATTCATTTTACTTACAATACAAATAATAGTTCAAATTACCCTGTGCATCTATATCAATGAAATATACAATAATATCTCTCATAGCGCGTTTTCGATAAGTACGGATTCACTATAGTACGGTTTTAACATTAACATCTCAAATTAGTACACAAAATTATTTTTATAAACATAAATGATCGTTTTTATCCCTCTCTATAAGAAGAGGTTTGGGAGCCGCATGCTGCTCTTATCATGAGAAATTGCGGCTCTCACAATGGTAGGTAGCTATGATAGCCACGTTGGAAATTTAATTTCACCAGTAAAGATGTCACGGTAATGTAGCGGATTCCTAAACTTAAAAATATCCAAATCTCATTTTGTGTTGTATATTTTTTTTTTGGTTTTAAATTACTCGATTAGTCCGGGTTTAAAATCGTTTATCCGCACTATGTGAGGTTTTTCTCTATTTATACTATGTGAATGTGAAATTTCTGTATAAATTGATTGAAAAATATATGTAAATCTTTATGAATAAATAATAGATAAAATTTGATGAATTGATGATAACTACTTATTAAAACGAGAAGTGCATATATTTGTAACAGCAGCTGTCAGATTTCCAAGATATTAGCTGCTGATAATTTTTGATTAATGAATGTGTCAAAATCGCGTGTCACTTTGTGCCGCCTATTGAATGTGAACCGAACGGTATTATTACGAGTTTAATTAAAGTTCTCGCAAATTGAGTGCGTTTTAATTAATAATTCTCTATTGGCGACAAGGTGTTTTCTTAAAGCTTGCAATTTTGCACGAGGAAAAAGGGGTAGATCGTGCCTGGATGCGAATAAATGCGAAGCAATTGCTGTTGCGGATATTAAATTTCTAAGTTGCGAACGATCCACACTTAAATGCTTTAATAATGGTAGGACTTATCATATTAAGGGTGTTGTAAGCTCCAACAATAAGCAAATATTGATATTATGAAGTAACTTAATCGATAATGTGAATTTATACTTCTTCTGCGCAATACGACTAAGTTTTAAGATTTGAAAAATAAACCTACTTAAAACTAACATATTGCTTTAAATTATAAAAAAACATGTTATATAACATATAATTATTATAATAAATAATATTCAAATAAATAATGTAAAATTTAATAAAATATTCATATATTCAAAATCTAAGTACAATATAACATTAAAGTAATTGGATTTTATTTAAAAAAAAAATGAAATTTTTCTTTCTTGTAAAATTAACACAGGACAAATTGATTATTTTTTGCGGGAAATATACATTTTTTCGTATAAAATAGTAATATTAAGTCCGACCAAAGCCCGGATGGAATTTCTTCGGGATAAATCACTTTTATGTAGTTCCCCTAGAATATGTCGGAATTTTAATCGAAAATTATGGCTGAGCATCATTTTTTACTGTCACACATTTCAGCCGGGAAATATCAATTCTGTCCCATGTTTGTTTTCATCGCGATCCGACACAACTCACATTTGTAAGTACATATCAAAAATCGAATAACCTACAGAGAATGAAACAGTTTTTATTTACATAGTTTCTATTAATTTTTTTTATGTGTTTTTGGTTTCCACACATATTTAATTAAAAATAAAATATTTATATTAAAGAATTTATTGTTTTTTTTTCGAACAGTCTTACTATCTATTGTTATTTAATTGAATCACGTTTGTTTGTAATAAACATATATTTGTAATAAATTTAATAGTTATAATTAGTTTCATTTATCCTAGTTTAAATGTTTTGATTTAATAATCATATAATGCCCAGAGACTACATCCTAAAAGCATAATCACGTATGCGCATATTGTATAAAGGCCTATAAAAATTTCATTCCAAGGTTGGGAAGTTTACCAAAAAACAAATGTCTACTGCTATTAGATTTAATTAATGTTCGCAGGAATAAGATTGTAAATTAAATATACTATGCCATAAAAAAATATGGAGAAAAACTTTTCGTAAGATCTGTCCTTAACTAACGGTATTATTTCTTCCAACAAAGTTTTCTTCTTTTATAAATAAATAATAAAAATTCGAAACTTCGCAAATTTTGATTATACAAAAAGAAGTAGAAAATAATTCTGATTTTTAAAGAATTTTAATTGTGATTTATAAGAATTGAATATTTGTCATGTTTATAAATGAATAGTTTTATTTAATATGAATACAATCATTTAATAATTACTTCTAATTATGATAGAAATTCATAAATTTATTTGTTTGTGTAATTATTTCCATAACTATTATGATTATGTATAAATCAAATGCGGTTTAATATATTGCACAATCATCGGAATCACGAATATCTTAACGAATTAACAATGGCTATTGATCAGTGATGAATATTGAACATGCCATGAATACTTAGCAATAACGGAATTGGATCGACCGTCGGAGGATTAGGTCTCAATAGCGAGATATGTGGTTGGGATAAACTTATGCATTCGACGACTCAAGTTTTAGTGTGATTGCGTCCCGGCCATTGCATCTTAATATTCAATTAATAATCCATTTCCTCTGATCATCGTCATATTTAACATCTAATAGCTTCCAGATTAATTAATCCGTTTACTATATATATATTATAACCATAATAAATAATGTAATAGTTTATTATAAAAAATTCTAAACTATAAACAATAAAAGTAGAATTTAATACTTACAGTTTTCACTAAATTTGAACCTGAAACATAAATAAAATATTAATTAGTATTATCGTTTTATACTCATTATTTATAATTTGAATAGATTCTTTTTATATTGATAATTTGAAACATAATCACGGATGTGTTTTAAAGTAAAATAAATTAATAGTAATTAAAAGAAAAATGATATTTGGGTTTCATTGTAAAATAATATATAAATTATTCTTGTTGCCAGATTTTCAATAAGTACAATAATAATATGAATTAATAAAAATATTACATAATCGTTGAAGTATAAATTATAAATAATATTATAAATAGTAATGGAAGTAAATTACTGCATATAATATAGGACAAATTTATTAAACTATATCGCTTTAATTTGTTATATAAATTAATGTTATCTATATTTACGTCTCATAAATTTGTCGATTTGTGTTAATTACGATATGTACTTTGTTATTGATGTCTAATTGATTCGTTATGTAAAGAATTTATCAATATTACTACATTATTCTAAACAAATAAATGGTATAGTTAGTATTTGTATAACATTCACATAATGAACTATTTAGAATCTGTATGTATCCCATTTTTAGGATATTTTTATCAAGTTTATTAATTATGGAAGAAAATTAATTAATTAAGCAATACTTCGCATAATGCGAGTAATTGTTTTCTGTAAATATTTAGCAGTTTAAAACCGCACTAATCGTGGACTTTAAAACTTATTTTTATATATGCACACTTTTATAAATAGATACACTAATATCAGAACTAGGTATTCATTAATAAAATATTCACTGTATCAATGTCACGAAATTTGTGTATGGCGCCAAATTCAAATGATGGTTTTAAATAATATTATTCATTATTTTAAAATATTTTGTTTTCAATTAGGAATTGAAATGATTTATTATGCTCATTATCTAAATTTTAATGAGCAAATAATTATTTAAATATAAAGTATATTTTAGTAGTTGGTATAAAAGTGATGAAGTTTTCAATAAAATGCAAGGATTGATACATTAATTGTATTCCATACAATATTGAAATATTTGTGGAAATTGAAGAATAGTGGGAATTTATAAAAAGGGCGCCAAATACAAATAACGGCTTGATAATAAAAGCACATAAACATTGTTTCCAAAAACAAGTGAAAGAATGATTTGTTTGAGCCCAGATGGCAGCTGTGTGCATTGTGAAAAGCGCCTTTGTGTATTGTTTAAAATTTAAAGTTGCATTCATTTGGTTTCTGCTCCGGCAAAAATTAATCAACGTAATATGTATGCAGTGTGCGCTATTTAATTATTAAAAAGGAGTCCCTTAAAAATAATTACGCGCCGCGGCGTTCCCATTCCTTCTTCCGCCTTTAGTTCAGAAGCTTCACAACCAACAAAAGTATATAAATACAAATAAAAAGAGTTGAAGATGAGCAAAAAATGAATAAAAGTAAACAAAAACTAGGAAAAAGTACGTAAACATATAAAACTCGCTAATCCTAGTATGGATGAATGCGAGCGATTAAATTTTAGGAATCCTTTTAGACGTGTACGCTCTGCCGATAAACGTTGGGATCGGCGCGGGATTAAAGGACTATATATTCAAAATTCCGAAGTCGCAAAGCTGCCGCGTCGCGGATTAATCAGCCTTGAGCCTTTCCTAGCTTCCTTTTTTTATTTATTTCTTTTTTGGTCTCCTTTTTTTCAGTCAGCCGCGATTCCGACATCTCAGGAATTCGATGATGACGGCACGGCGCTGACATTCGAAAATCCTCGACACGTTTTTATTTATTTTCAATTTTTTTTTGGATCAACAGAAGTATTTATTGAAATTCTTCTCAGCTGTCGCAAAGTGAAGAGACGCAGACGGATGAAAGAAAACCCGCAACAGGACAGCTGCAAAGAGAAGGACATGACGTAAGGATATTCAGATGCTGCGAATCAAACGGAATAATTAAACTGGCGCCAACAACATAAAAGCTTTCTACTGCAAAGCGACTAGACGTGCTTTTATTTCATGATTTGTTTGTTTTTTTTTTATACTCGTTATACCATATTTCTTTCGCCCTGCAAATAGATGTATTGGCGGAGGTATTAAGCCGCTCTTGTCCTATCTGTTCTTATTCCGATCAAATATTTCCACTCGGGGGAAAAACGCTCTCAGGGATAAATTGCTCGCTCTTTCCCGAAATTGCAAAAGTTCTTCTAGCACATATTTTTCATAACATAGGCCGATAAAAAAGGACATGGCTATTGATAACTGCTGCTTGTGAAACGTAATCATCACTAGTTCTGCTGAAATCCATGTCATCTGTTCTACTAAAACTATTATCTAGTTTATAAAGTTTGTAAAGTAAAGAGCCATTTTTAAGATTTTGACTATTAAACAAGTTTAGGGAGCCGCAACATAGCCATCAACTTACGTGGAGTGACAACTAAGAGCCGCAATGTCTCATATAAAGAGCCGCAGGTTACCGTTCACAGATCACGATATTAAAATTGTTATATTAATTATAATATATATATAAAGTAGGCACAAATTACCTAAGTATTCAGTAGTTTTCCTGAATAATTATATATAATATTAATAATACTCATTTCTATTATGGTATAATAAAGTAATGCGTGTACATATATTTATGATTTAATAAATTTCTTTAATTCCAAAGCTTTTGTACAAATTAAAATATTACATAATTATATAATAACAACGTTATAAATTAAACTAATCTGAATAACGGAAGTTTATATGCAACAAAGCGATATAGATTACAATAACCTTGACCAGATTACGCAAATCTATAGGGTATGTTTATATTAATTATGTTAAACTTCGCTCTTTTTCGCATTGCATAACAATACTAGATTATAAATAACCGCGAGATAAGAAGGGCAATTTGCTTGCAGGAAAAACTGTATACGTGGCGTTGGAGGTTTGTGGAAATATGCTATTATGAATCTTTTATGAATGTAATAAAGGAATACTGCGATGAGTGTTATTCTACATACATATTTCATATAATATATTGTCGCATGAGTTCAGTTCGAATGACATACAAATAAAATTGGATTAATGCATGAACAGCAAATTTCCGACATCAAATGAAATATATTTTAACCATTAATTTCGAAATAAATTATGCATATAAATTACTTGCAGCTTGTCAAGTTAACTTGTATTACAGTATAGTGGAAACTCGGTTTTCGAACAAAATGTAACTTCTGCCTGTCAGTAGGAAGGATAGTTGATGACGAAAACAAAACGGAAGGAAGTAACTTAAGTATCCTGTTTATATTCCTAGTCACCAGTCACGTGAACCGAATTTATATTAAAACTTTTTTGTAAATTAATAAAGGAAATATTTTTTTTAAGTATCAGCTTGCCAAGTTTACTATTAAATAGAGCGGAAGCTCGTTTTTCGAACTTTATCTTTGAGGTAGGAAGATATTAGAAAATGAAATAATTTAATCTATTTCGTTGCAATTCTCACTAGTGGGTGCTTCCTAAGATTTCCCGAGAATAAAATTCATAAACTTAGCTAGTTTTTATAATCCCTAGTCCCGGGATTCAAGTTTTAAATCTTTAGCAAATGCAATAATTGTATCCAATATTGAAGAAGTAAATCCCGATAAAATATTATCAAAATAATAATAGTATGTTTTACTATGTAACATATATACAAAACTTTATTGACTTGATATTAAAGACGAATTTAGACGTCTTTAACTCTACTACCCCAACAAAAGATAAACATTTAACAAAATACATTGTTTATAGCTTTTATTTAAAGTATCCAGATTTCCTCATAGTCTTGCTTAATAGCTTTTCTTGTGAAACCAGTTTTACTCCAAGACCGTACGCCTTCGTTAAATTTAGATAAGCTTAGGTAAGATAGCCGATGCTCTATTATTTCCAGGGCTTACCTTGAAGTAGACATTCTTATCGCATTAAGAGCTCTGCCCTTTTTAAAAATTGAATTGTATATTAAGTACATAATATATATTTTATACTTAAAACAAAGATACTTTATTTTCTTTACAACTTTTTTTGTGATTTAAGTAAATATTTTTTTTAAGATATTCTTTTTTTAGATATTCTTCTCAAAAATACAGATGGATTTATATAAACGTTTTCTGGATTTATTTGGAATATCTGGATTTATTTATTAATGTTGGTTGAGAAAATATATATTTAAGAAAATGTATTTTAAAGCATATTGACGTTTGTAGTAAAAATACTCCTTAATACTGCCATAACAACATCAATCATCGCCCCTTTTGTTTTGATGATAAATTCGCTTTAAACTTATTTACTCTGTCGAAATATTAAAACATGAAACGAATTTCGCTGCACAGCAGGCGCTTTCCTTCTCCAAATATCATACATCAAAATATTTACAAAACACAAATAAAACAATTTTAATAAATAATAGCAAGGAATCTTATTTATTTAGTTAAAACATGCGATTTAAAGCTGTATTAATGTTAAGATTATTTTTTTTAATGATTCTGTGTCATATTTTAAAATAAGTAAGTATTTTTAAAAATTAATACAGGAGTTAGCCCAAAAAGTAAATTATTCGGGATGAGGACGTTTAGATATTACACATCGAAGGCGTCTCTTAGTCGCATTATTATATAAACATAAACATTAGCATAAAGGAATCTCTACCGTGATTCCAGTTCGATACACTTTAATATAAACAAAGGGGACCAAGCGTAAACATTCCCATCGATACTCCTATACCTTTATACCGAATTCAAGTCCTTAAAATAAACATATAAAGTTCGTTACATGTACAATCGTAATCGATCATCTTTTTCATATAAACAAATGCATAGGAATTTGTTCCGGTCTTAATAATAAACAAAACCACCAAAGCCAATTCCCGTGGGAACGCTTAGTAATCAATATAATCAAACCCTACTCCCGATCACAACTCCCACTCTGTATTAATAAGAATTAACTTTGGAAGTAGAATAACTATTTAGAATTAGTTTCAGTAAAACCTTCAAAGACTGACATAGTCTCAGTA